AAGAGAGCTGACTATTGTCTAAGAATCTGGAGAACTGCAATGGAAGTTCCTCTCCAACAGTCTGAAAGCAGTTGCAAGGACAGAAAGGCTGTGCCAGCCTGGCCCTACCAAACAGGCACTTCTCCTTCCCAGGCATGCTCTGCAGGGCTCTTACCTCTGTGTTAATCCAAAGCGTGGAGCCCAGGCTGAAGGCATTCTCCTTGCCCTCTTCTCGGACATCCACGTGTTGGTAAATCCCATCGTTCACCTTCCAGGTGACAGTCAGGTGGTTCTCCCCCTTGCTACTTGGCCGAATAATCACATCCCCTTGGTCCATGGTCTCCATCATCTTCTCGGCTTGCTTGAAGCTAATGTTGTGGAATGATGGGTGAGCAATTACTCTCTTGATGTACGCTGCGGCACAAAGCGGAGTGTTTAGGTTTCCAAGAGGAACTACTTTATTGCAACTATACGTCTAACTGTGCTTATTCTCCTGAAGCACCCTGGGAAGGCTGGCATTAGAAGGGAGAGAAAAATTAGAGACTCACTTGTCCGCTGCTGCTTTCTTTTCAGATCTTCTTCCTGTTTGTGATCTGCTGCCTCAGAGTCAAAGTCATAGTAGGTGTCTTTAGGAAGTTTCCACTCATTGTTCTTATCCATAAGGTCTGAGGTCCTGCAGGTCAGGTCGGCACTGAACTTCTCAATGTCAATCTTCATAATCCTGCAGTGAACGGTCATTCCCACCTACAGGAGAGGGGCAAGCAAAGCTGATCAGCAGGTTTGGCTGATAATGCCACCCTCCCCTGCAACACAGAGCAACCCGTGTGGGGTCACACCGCCAATAAGGAGGTACAAAGTACCTCATCTACTTCAGACTGATACAACTTTTAAAAGTGATCCTTCCATATGAACCAAAAATCAACTGATCCCCAAGCCGACTAGAATCAAAACAGATTAAAGGAAAAACAGACAGTTCTCCAGCATGGTATGTGCACCATACCACACAGAAAACTGCATGTCTGGAGGCTGAGGACAATTAAGTTTCCTGTTTTACATATCTTTAACAATGGGAGCATCAAAACTGGACTTCACGATGTGCAAGCAAACAGTTAAGTCTGTTCAGAAACAGTGGAAGACACCCAAAGGACTGCTGTAATAAAATGGAAAACACGAAATATCACCACAAAAACTGCAATGTCTTAGTCCAGTTAACCGTGTTGAAATTAATGACTCTTTAAAGAAATGCTAAGAGACCTCTGAGCTTACAGGATTATCCATCACCTGCATAAACTGTCAGGGTGACCCCAAAAGACAGCAAAGATGTTAAACCTCTATTTTATCATGTGATAAAAATACAAGATTGTTTCTTTCAGAACCCCAATCCCTGTCCTGAGCAAGACCAGTAACTCTGATGACCTCCACAAACGAACTGAGACAGAAGAAAAAGCTATGAGAGAGGCAAAGTGACCCTTGCATATCTAACTGCAGTTCAGTGAACTCTTTAGAAAGCCAGAAACAAAGGGCAGCTCTGCATTAGAATGCCTTCTGGCCTCCTAAACCCAGACTTTAGCCAGACTACAATAAATCCTTCCACACTGCAACATGTTAACTGATTAACATGGTTCCCACCAGCTGCCAAGAGAGATTTGCACTGTGGGAGGAGGACAGTAACCAGAACCTGAACTTGCTGCTGATTTAAAGCCCTTAAATGAAAATAAGGTTTGAAAAGTCATTTAGGGAACAGTGTTATTAACCAAACTCTGAATCTTTGGTATTGGCTCCAGGCTGTTCCAGCTCTTGCTGGATATGTAAAAATCCACTGCTTTCATACCTTCACCCTTTCTTCTGGCCGTTTGACCACCTTATCACTAAGAAATTTTGTTGGGATGAAGCCAGCGACACCATTATCCAGACGTGTCTTCACTCCAATGGCCTGACCTGGGCAGGATCCGCTGTCAAAGTGGTTCCAAACCTTGAGCAAGGCAAAAGTAAAAGTCATTCAGCATGGAAAAAAAAAAATAGTCCTGGCAGCTCACACTCACACACGTCTAAAAGCTATGTCAGCAAACTAGCATAGCCAGCAGAGACATGTGGAAGGGCAGAGGACAGAGGACTTCAATGAATGCTACCCAGTAATGCAACCTTCCTACTTCAGTTCTGCCCAGCTTATGGGGCTTTGCAACCAGGAAGGTCAGAACATTTTTAGACCCTGAACACAAGGCTGCAGCCAGGGCTGGTTTCTAATGAACGCTATAGGGTTTTAAAGTCACGGATTACCAAGGCTGGAATTCAGCAGTGTTTAGAAGAGACCTAAAGTACAGCTGCATTAAGCAGCAGGGAGTCCAGATAAGTTCTTAAAATTGAGAAGGTGGCAGAACAACCTTCTGTGCTCAGTGTCACGGCAGTTTCTCTGCGTAAAACACAATCCTAGACCACAAACAAACCTGCTTTATGTATTTGCAAAGAACTGGTCAGCTTTCATTTCATTTCACTCCTAGCCCAGTTCACTAAAATCCATAATGTAGCCATAAAGAACTTGTCAAATCTATACTGAAACAGTTAGTCAAAAGTGGAACAGATTGTATTTGCAGCCAAAGGACACATTCAGGTTGGGATCCTGGGGCACTGCAGACACAATCTTGGCTCTGATACCTTGTCTCCCAAGAACCCTACCAAACGCTCAAGCCTGACAATAGCCCACTCCCGACAAAGGCAGGCCCGTTAGGAGAAGCAGCCCCACCTCGCTGAGCTCTGGAAAGTTATCCTGCTGACAGAAAGGACACTGCCAAAGGCCAGTTTCATCGTTCCGTATTGCCTGGTCGTAGCTTTCTCCTTGCGGCCGCCTGTGGGCTATCCCAGTCACATTGCAGATGATCATTTTACCTGTGGGGTGATGGGAGAGGAGAAGGAAAGAATGAAAAACTGAAAGTCAACTGCAGGGCTGGGCAGTTTCCTCGATCTAAGGTAGTTGTGCATGAAAGTGTTAGGAGACTACCTAGGCACTTGAAAAGCTGCTTCACATATGTGCAACCATAGCATCGTCCCAACATCATGCTCACCAAGATCCCTCTGCCCCACCTTTAAACATCCTAAGTCAACTTAGAATGGCAGAAACCAGGGATGTAAACAGGGATGTACCTATATAAAAAGTCTCTGGAGTTTCTTTGGTCAGCATATTGAAGACCTCTTCTGTGTTTGGAGAACGGTATGGGGTTCTCAGGTCCTTGTACCTGCAGCTTAGTTCAGCTCGAATGTCATATAAAGTGATATGCTTGTCACCGTAGCCCTGTGTGGTATTCAAAGGTTATAAAGCCATGAGCAGCAGGAAGAAGGCGAGTAGGGAATACAGTATAAGTTATGAAAGAACTCAAGGAACTTATCAAACAACAAATTTAAAAACCAGGAATGCACAGGGTACCATAGAATTCAGTCACAGGATGTTGAGGAGGTTAAAAGTACCAATACATTCAGAAAAAAAGTTAAATTTCGGGGAATACAGCTTAAATGGTCTAATCACTGTCTCCTGTCTCCTTCCCCGCTCTGCCCCAAGTGCACTTTCTGTAGGCATTTAGTACATCCCATTGTCAGACACTGAATGCTCATCATGGCTGTTCATGCATTTTACAACGGCAGCAGCTAAATGATTAGCTCCTAGAAAGAATAAGGGTCACCAGCCATAAAACATAAGAAACTGAGCTGGACAGCAGAGCTTCTCCTCTGTTTCTCAGCACCAGGAACCCACAGCACACCTGTCTTTCCAGTTCTTCAGCAAAGGCATCGAGATCCAGGTCTTTCAGACGCTCAGGGTTTTCTAAGATCTCCTCTAGAGCTCCCGCGGGATTAGCATCCTCTGCCGACTCATCGTATTCCAAGGCATCCACTGCCATTTTTCTTGCCCATTCATAAGTTTCAGGATGGACCCTAGACCCATCTAGGACTTCGATGTAGGAATCGGTACTGAAATAAAACCAAAGCAATGTTCAGATAAGGACTCTGCAGGGTTCCCGAGTCACCTCCTTCAGCTCAATAACAAAGCACGCTGTTGAGCACCACTACTGGCTGCGTGGCTGCTTTGCCACCGCCATCCTGCACGGAACAAACTACTCTAAAAAGGACACAATGAATTCTTCATTGCTAAACCAAGAGAAGCCAAGGCAAGACATGACAAATTCCTGCCTACAGCTCCTGCACTGCAAAGATACAGCCAGGCATTTTGGATGCCAGGTAGATTTGTTCACCCTGTGTACTATAGCTGCTCTATGAGCACACAGCTTTCTACAGTTTCTCTCCTTGTACAAATTACGTGTTGCCAACTGGCAGTGCAGCCATCCGCATCTAGCTGTTTGGATGAGGCTACACTTTGCCCCCTGCATCTCTGGGACTTGTACCCTGCAAGAACCAGGGACTAGCGGAGTTAGATCACTCAGTGTAAGGATTCAGCCAGGCATCCTTTCTCAGACCGCTTTTCAAAGGCAAAAAGGATACCGCACCAGCCCTAGAGAAAGCACTTTTCCAACAAGTGACCCTTCTGTGCAAAGCAATCGGAGATTTAGAAACCAGGTTACTGCTATCCTTCAGACACTCATCTCTTGTTTAGTTACCAGTAACCTAATGCTCTACAAACTTCCCAGTATTGCTACTAGTTTAAGAGGAAGCTAAATGGCCAAGTTACTCCTCAAGTTTGAAACTTCAGAAAAATAAAAGACTCTTGGTAGGACTAGGTGGAAACTAAGCAAAAGTGCACATGGGTTACTAACGGACATGCATGACGACTGTTAGAACAACTGTTTCTAGTTTAGTTCCTCTTGACCACAAAGGGTCTTTCAAACCATAGCAAGTTGTATAATTAATGTTCTGCAGCTCACACTGCTGTGCAAGTTTAGCTGCCCTTAAGAATCAGATTAATAATCAGCAACACCTGAACTTGGCCAGAAGTCAGAGGGGCCACACAGAAACTCTCGGGAACACGGACTCCGTCGCTCATGCTAACTCCATACCCCGTATGACACTGAATGCAACCCAATACCCACCTATCACCCAGTGATGCCGTGTCAATTTTGATGAAGCCAGCACAGTTGATAAACACCTTGGGTCCCATGTGACACATCGTAACCAGCTGGGTCCTGTTCTCCAGACGTGTGTTGTTTTGTTTTAAGATCTGGAGAGAGAGGTAACAGTATAAACCTCGCTATTCAAACACAAGGGTTCTCCAGGAAAAGCAGAGGATTCACACTGGATACTGCAGTCTTCAAAACATCTGACATAATCAAGCCCATCACAACTCATAAAATTGTTGCACCCTGCCTGTGTCTCAATGTTGTATGAAAGGAGATGACTCCACATGGAACAGCTCCAACTCTTAGGAAAAGCGTTGGCTTTTTGCCTTGTGTTTTCTACAGTATGGAGGCGTCTTGATACTGTAACAGTGCATCCGTTCCTGTGGGTTCAGGAGGTAGCTAGGATTGATGGATCTGCTGTATTGCTTGGGTCTATCAAGGACATAAGCCCATGCATAGCTTTGGGGTTCGGCGCAGTGAGATAACACATAACACACACGTCAACGGAGCTGTCGGCTGCATCTGGCACACGGGACCCCGACTCATCTTGTAACAGCACTGCCATCAGGCCAACTCGCACATTATTGGTGATGCGTTCTTTTTGTAGACAGCAACAGAAGCCTCCTTACCTTTAGCAGATGAGTGCCTTTGCGTGGTCCTAGGCCACACACATACTGCAGCAAAGCCTGGCTGTGAGGGTGAGCAATAGCCCGATTGACATCCACTCCCACCTCGTTCACACGGTTTATGAATTCGCAGTAGAGGGCATTCAGCAGTTCCTCCTTCACCACGTGCTCCTGACAGAAAGGAGAGGTGTTAGCCCTCGCATGGAGATGCGTGCAACACTTTGCCATAAGCAAGCTGAGCCAAACACAACACACTCGCTCTCAGGAGCTGTACTGCACCTCAGTTACCCCTGAGAACAGCCTAAAGGCAGGAGGCAGATGAGGTAAAGGAGGCAAAAAAAAAAAAAAGGCGCCGTGTAGCCTGAATATGGCTCAGAATAAGCAGAACTCACACCAGTTCATCTTGGAACACTGTTCTTTGACAGCAAACTGTCCCAGGCCTCCCAGGCCACTTTCTCTCGGAGGGAAGGATCTTCCTTGCCCGAGGATCTCACAAGGAAAACTTACCTGCAGAGGGTGGAGTTTCAGGCAGAGAATATCCTCATCAGAGCTGCAGACCTGGGCAAACTCAATGAGGGGGTCCTGAATGCGACGAGCAAGGGAGACAGCTTGACGCAACAGAGGTGGGTAATCCCGGAACTCACTCTGCAAGAGGCCAGAGAATCAGGGAAAACCCTGATGATGTTTTCACACTTTGTAGCACAACTAGCAAAGACATATCAACAGGGATTGGAACAAGGGAAGCATTTGGTGCTCAGGGCAAAGACAGCTGATGTCAAAGGCTCCCAGGAGCTCTGCTGCAACTAGGAATGAAACAACTTCATTCGCTCAGCTGAGCAAGATTCATTTCAGACTACATCAATATCTACTTTGTACATCTGCTGGTGCTGATCTCTTCAGGGAAGCCTAAATAAGATGTTTAGCCTTGATCCAAAGATCATCACTGTCTAGATGGATCACATGAGACAGATGATGCAAGTCAGGGCCAGCACAACAAATAGAGGATGAGACAGCACGAATGAGTGACAGACTAAGGGACAGCTGGAATAACAGAAGGTTCACCTCAGACTTCTTGCTGTTCATGTAGAGGATGGCCAGTTCGTTGTCCACCAGCTCCACTCCGATAGAGGACAGCTGCTGCCCTTGATCCAGCTCATGAACAATTCTCTTTACATCCTCCATCAGCATCTGAGCATCCCTAGGGAGAGACAGCCAAGGGGATTGAGGGGAGAGTGCAAGGCTGGGTCCTGGAATCACTTAGGGAGATAGCCCCCAAGGGTTACCTCACACCACAAACAGTGAAACGTGGACAGGCGTGAGGAAAGGACTGCAAAGAGACTGCGAAGTGGAAGGTGGAAGGAACACAAAGACTGACCTGTTCTCGCCTGCAATTGTCACCACGTGAGGCTTCTTGTTCAGGAGGAATTTTTTCAAAGTTTCAATATCCTGTGCCTGGAAAGGAAACCGAGACAGGTCAGAGTAGAAAAGCTAGAGGGTTTCTGTACTGAGCTAGCTACTAGTCCTGGGTTCCTATTTCACAGGGCAAATCCTCCCCCAGTGCCATCCTGATTTGCCACCATCACATGAACATGGCTAAATGTCTTTTCTACGGGCCAGCCATGCAGCTCCTGACCACTGTAAGGACAAACAGGAAAGCTCTGCAGAGGAAAGACTGATGGCATCACACTCCGGTGTTACAGGAAATCAGCGCAAGCAGGGAATGGAAGTCAAAAGCCTGCCTCAAGCTCCAGCAGGTCCCACAGCCTCTCGCTAGTATAATGTGATCAGGAGAAGGAGAGAAAAATTCAGTAGCTGCGACCACAGAAGCTCACAAACTCTCAATCAGCAGAACTCAGAAATGGCAAGGTCCTGCCACTCCCCATAAGAGGAGCAGAAGAGATGAATTGAATTTAACTGGAAGCAACTGTTCTGCCAGCATAATTACAGGGTGGGAAAAAGGCAATATCCCTGCATGCAAGAGTGACAAGGTCTGAGCTGTTTTCAGATTGACTATTCCTCTCCAGCCCACGGTGGATTGCCTGGAACCAAAGCAACATGCAAACATTCGTCTTGACAATAGCTGCACCAAGGCTCACCTTCTTTTCCCTCTCTTCCTCACGCCAGGCATTCCTCCTCTTTGTGAAATGCGGCAATCGGAGGAAGTCTGTAACCTCACCCTCTCCGTTAACAAGGGCGCAAAACACAGGGTGGTCCCTGCAAAACAGAGATCACTCAGACATGGAAGATTGCTAAAGCTGTACATGGATCAAGAAGCAATTCCTTCCCCCCTACCTGGCTGAGGAAAACGCAATGCCTAGCACCCGAATGCCCTTCCCTTGGTTTTCATCCATGAAATCATCATCTTCCTCCACTTGCTGATCAGGACGGTATGAAGCTACTTTTAGCCAGTTGTACAGTTTCCGGCTGCAAGCCTGGTAGAACAGAGAAGGGGAGAGAGGAGTGAGAAAATCCACTGCAGGTGCTTTGGCACAGCCCTTCTCCGGAGGAAAGGCCGTGGACTGCTCAAGGCAGCAAGACAGTATACTCTGCCAGGACTGGGACCAGCTCTCCAGGACCACGGAGCTCATATTCCCTCCCACTGAGATATCTGCTTTTCTCTCCATCCTTGGGAAAGAAACAGACTCAGACCCCTGCCTGCCTCGTCCTCCTTCCTAAGAGCCTGTGTATGGTCTGTTAACAGCTATCCTCAGCACACTGCAGGACCGTTAGCATTTGTAACCCCAGCTCTGACTCAAACCCATCTGTCTCCCGTCTCACCTTGAGGACATACTCCTTGGCCTCTACCAACAGCTTGTTCTTCAACTCTTTAGCCATCTGCACATAGAGGAACTGGTTGAGGGACCGCTCAATGGCCATCGTACGCTGCCGATTCCACTCTTGCACCTGGTGGCTGAACTCATCCCGATAATAGAACTGTTTGATTTCCTCAAAGTACGTCTGGTCGCTACCATAACTGCAAGAAATGAGAGGAGGAGATACAGAAGGGCTCCAAACACCTGCACTGACACCACCACTGGCAGATTCCTGCACAGAGACGTAGTAACAGGACCTCAGATTCAGGCAGCTGCCTGGAAGATTTAGAAAAGAGCCAATCCTCCCATCAAACACCCCTTTAGCCACAAAAGCTATGCTGCTAGGCAGATCGCAGCTGAATGCCATGCTGGCAGCACAAAGAGGCCTGATCAGGGCAACACGGGGCAGCTCACAACCACTCCAGCACACCCACATTGCACAGTGTGGCTACTCAGATGTGCAGGGAAGGAACCAAGGAGCACACAGCGAGGGTGGCTGGGAAACAAGCATCAGCTTTCACAAAAATCCTAAAGGCTTCAGAGTTTGCCTTCAAATGAATAGATGGTTGGCTGCTAAAGCACTAAGATGAAGAAAAAAAGCAAGACTCTGAGGTGCTGCTTGACTTTAAGGTGCAGGAAATCACCAGGCCATGACTTCCAGGAGCAGTCTGGGTTACAGAGAAGCTCTTAACAGCACGGCAGTACTGGATGAACGAGCTCTGCCAAGGCATGGATGTCACGGCCAGTGAGGACTCACCCTTCCACTCCTTTCATGTCAATGCTGATATCTATAGTGAGCAGTGCCTCCTCCTCTGCCAGGCTCATTTTCAAGAACTGGTCATCTCGCAGCTCCTTCACAGGCTTGTTCTTCAAGTATTTAAAGGAATAGGCATAGTGGGCTTCATCAATATCCTGGGAGAGAGGAGAGACAGTCAGTATGCATGCAGGCATTCATGAAGAACGATCCTTCTGTATACCATAGCAGACAATGTTTTTTATTCAATACCCCCTCACCCCTATGCCTGCCAGTCTGCATTTCCTTCCCCAGCAGGACACAGTGGAATTCATTCCCAGTCCCAGAGAAAGAGACTGTTCCAATAATTGAAGGCACCATCTCAACAGCAAGAATTAGATCTGATGAAACACTGAGACTAAATATGCAGCATGCTGCTGAGCTGGCCTCTGCAACAGCCCAGCTCACATGCTGCTCTGAGATTTATTCAGTTGCCACTGACATGAGAGAAGTTTTCAGATGCAAAAACGAGGATTTGTATGCTATTTAGATTCTTCCCTGAATTGACTCACAGAGTCAGAGCTCCCTTCCTTACCTTCTTCCCCTTTTTGGTTGGTGAAATGTTGATTTTAGCTCTTTCTTGGAAAGTCTGTCTCAGGACCTGTCTGACCAAAGGCTCTCTGGCTATCTGCAAAGCCACCATGTATCGGGCTCCTTCCAGCACAGCTTCAGGGCTTGGGAATTGACTAAAAGCAAAAAGGCAACATGAAGGCTTGGGACTTGAGAATGTCCCCAGATTCCCTCCCTTGTGTCACATCCGCAGAACCCCCATGAAGATCTCCCAACACTGACCTACACACATAATCCTTGGCCAGCTCCAGGGGCTCTGCAGGGAACTGCTCTGTCTCGTGACGCTGGTAACTGTCTCGGAGATTCTCCCCAAACTGCTCAGGTGTCAGACCAAACTTCTTAGCCAGGCCATCTGGTAAAAACAACAAAACCAAAACCAATGAGGACAAGGGTACTGTAGCTTATATTGAGCAAAACTATCAGTCCTCCTTCTACAGGTAAGCAACATCACCCAGAAGAGCATGAGGGCTAGGCCACTGCAAGCTCAGCATGACAGAGTACAGCCCTTACCCAGCCCAGCTGTTTGACAGATGGTGTACATATCCCGACGGGAAGCCTGCTTCAGCTCAGGTCCTTTCTGCTCATCATCTTCTGCATCCTCCCCTTCACCTATGGGAAGGATATGTTTAGCAAGGCCTCTTTACAGAGGCATCCAGACAGCTGCAGTGTGTCAGAAGCACAACAAAGAGATTAAACACAACCTACATTGTGCAACAGAGTCCCTAAATTCCACAAACACATAATTTCAAAGGTCACAGTAGCCTTAAAATTAAAGTGCTATCTTCTCTTCAATTTCACTCTTTTGCAGTTTTAATAGCAGTATCTCTGGGTTGCACATTAAAACACACATCAAGGTGGCTGATTCTTGCTTGGAGGGGTGGTATTCAGTCCATCGAAAAGCACCACCTTGTGTGGCAAACGTTAAAAATTTTGAGATGCCTGGAAGACCTGGGACTACCTTGAGGTACAAGTGAACACCACATATGCTCTGTGCAAACACATGGGCTTTTAAACAAACTTTCTTACTATTCTTTTGAACCAGGATTTTCAACCAGCCCACAATTAGGAGACTATAAAATCTGGGGACAAACCTTCTTCCTCTTCACCATCCTCTCGGATACGCTTTTGCTTCTTTCGAGCAGCCTTGGCAGCATTCTGCATCTTGGGGATGTCTCGCCCATAGTACAGCAGGAAGTGATTATACACGTCCTTCAGCTCGTCCATGGACTGCACGTCCTTCAACCTACGGCATGCAAAGCCAGCATGTTACACCCTGCTTGCAGCTGAGCCGTAGTCAGAGCACTCAGGAAACCTGCTCTGGTACAAGTCAGGCAGAAGGAGCACTTGGGCTCATCTTCCAAAAGAGTTTTAAATACTTCTTGTTACCACTTTTGTGGGGAGGCTAAAGTCAATGCACTGCAGTGGCCAGAAAGCCTGTGCTATTTGGGCAAGTTAATGCATATTTTAAGTCATTTTGGAATTAATATAAGAAAGTCATGGCACCATACCTCTCCATGTCAGTAGTATCCAAGGCCCTTATTCCATCAGCCAAGGGTTTGTCTGGGTCAGCGGAGATTTGTTCGTACTGATAGGCCTGCATCTTCTCAAACAGACGTGTCAGGTTCTGCTTGCGGATCTTCAGCTGGGTCCACTAACATGAGAAAAAAGACTTCCACTGAAATGCACCGTCGCAGTGTGTCACATCTGTCTCCTCCCTTCCCAAACAGGGGCTCCCAGGATCTTGGGATATTTGTCATATAAAAATAATCATCAAAATCTTCATTTACAGCCAAGCCCAGATGTTAAACACATAGCAGGTGTCATCTCAGAGAGAGTATATTAACAGAAAAAAAAAAAAAAAATCAAGGTTTGGATCTACCTGATAGTAGAGAAGGAACCTGCACTCCTTGCAAGAAAGGTCACTACACAAAAGAAGCTCGGTGAAGGGGAAGGACTCTTAAATCCTCTTTTGTCAGATAACCCTCTACCACCACATAATAGCAAACTTGCAAAAAATCGTGGGTGAAAAAGCACACAAGGTCTCCACAGCCAAAACAAAATCTGCTGAAAATATCAGGCTATGTGGGAAGACATGTTAAATGTGGATGGGATAACAAGCAGTGAAAACACTCCTCACCTTTTCATCCCACTGCCAGACCCTCCACAGGTCATTGATGTGCAGCTCTGGCTCCACATACTCCTTTCTGTAGAAGGCGATGAATGGGACCTGGGTCAGAAATGAGACTCATCACCACCATGCAGGAGACCAGGCTGTTCCTGGCAGCCAGGAGTCCTGGCACCCAGCTCCTGTTCCATGTGGGAGAACAAGCTAATGGGGCAGCAGTGTGGGAGATGTACCAAGCCCTGATGCCCCAGCTCTTCCACCAAAGAATACACCACATAGACCAAAAGTTTCTGCAACATCAGGCAACACCTCAGAGAATAGGTTGAATGGACCAAGCAATGTTCAAGAGACTCTGAAATTCCACCTCATTTAGCATCAACTTCTCCAGGATCAGGGAAATAAGATGACAGCAGCCACATCAAACAGATCTCAAAAACCTGCGTTGCCACAGCTCTCATAAGATGAGCTGCACTTTCCAATGAAGCACCGTTTCCTCACAGGAGAGGCAACCAGGTATGGTATCTCAGTCCCTTCTAGTTTGCTGCCCTAAATGCTTCCAGAAGCCCCTCAGGACAGCTAGTCCTGTCTGGATAGGGAGACAGCAACTCAGACCTTATCTTGACAATGAAGCAGAGCTGTGAATTACCTCAAAATGTTGATTTCTCATGAAATTCAGAGCTTCTTTAATCTTCTGGATGGTGCTGGGCCCCTTGCGGCTGAAGCTGCTGCTGGGTTGTCCACGGTCAAGGTAGTCAGAACTTTCCTAAAAAGGAGAAACACATTGTGTTGATTGTATTCCTGAGCTGACCCCCTAAAAAGACTGGCCCAGGCTGAGGCTAGAAAAAGTTGGTCATTTTGTCAGCTGGGAATGCAAGCTTAGGTACACGCTCTGATTTTAGACCACAGAAAAGTATCCTAGCCCTGACTGGTCTAAAAGGAAAATGGAGAGGCAGAACCTGGCCAAGGTAACTGATGGTTAAAAGCAGATCATGGCTAATACTAGTTTAGCCCTAAGTGCACAGTGGCTCAGAGATCTTTCGATCATTCTTGACAGTTATTCTGGCAACTTCTCTGTGTTCCTTTTTGACATTTTACAGATGCAGAAATGAACATACGTGCACATTAAATGACCTGCTCAAAACCAGAAAGAAAGGTGTACTGGGCACCACATGCCTCTCAGCAGAGTCCTGGAACAATGTCTCCAGGCTAGAAATCTGGAACACTTTGAAGTTCTCTTATGACAGAAGTCCCAGGCATAGTCTTTTACCTGCAAGGAGATGGTGGGTGTTGCAAACGCATTCCTGTAAATCCAGTCAGCTTCTTCCTCCAGCTCATCATCTTCAGCACTCTTCACTGGGATGGATCGCAACTGTGAAAAGACAACAGAATGAGCAGAAGCATGTGCAACACCAGGGCTTGCACTACCGTGTTTTCAAGAAGCCTGGAAATTATTGTTTTGAGCTGCAGGTTGCTTATGTGGTCTCAGTACCTCCCACACCCACAGAGCTTTGCTGAGGATAGGACTTCAATGTCTGCATCAGCTTTACACTAGGTAAAGGCACCTAACAATTCTGTCAAAGGCTTGTGGAAAGGCCTGCAATGGTGTGAAATCTTCTGTGACAATCAAGTCAGGGTAACCCTGCTTCCTACCAGACTCCCAAATCCTCTGCAGTTACATTTTCTGTTCCAATCTATCTGTGCCTGTTCTAGCCTTGTTACCACTTTTCTTGCTGCAGCCATAGAATAACAGAATGTAAAGTAGCTCCAAACTGTCTCTGGGCATTTAGTCTCAGCCACTTCTCTTTCAGGGGGCCTGCTCTAATCATCACTGACATCCATGAAGATGACAAAATGCCTGCACAGGCCACATATGGCCAGGAGACATTAGAAACTGCATTCCCTTGCGCTGTGTACGCTGGCGTGGGAAAAAAGGTCCTTCTGAAAAGCTGGCAGCCTCAGACATCCCATTTAACAAAGGAGGGTAACCAGCCTCTGCACAGAATTACATTAACATACACTAAAGGCAGATCGACTGCTCAGTGAAAATCTGAACACAGGCTAAAATTAAGACAAAAATATACTAGAATGATTCCTAGCAGCACAAACAGGACTCTGTATGGAGAGCAGTACAAGTCCCAGTCACCTGGATCAAAGTGGGTTACAGAAACACCTTGTACAGAACCATCACGTGTTGGCTGGCATACGAGTAGGCTAGAAACCCTAGCAAACCTTCTCTGGCACTACCTCTTGCTATCCAGCGGTACAACTCAAGGGATTCCTAACAGCATCCAGCATAAAGGACATCTCAGCAGAGCACAAGCCCTGCACCACTCCCAGGAGGGCAGCACTGGCACCCAGCGGCCAAAGACAAACCATCACCAGCGCCAAAACCGGGCTTACACGGCCAGAACACTTCACAATGTCACCGTTATGTTTGAATGCAGAGTTACAGCCTATACATTTGACAGGTGGCATCTTCAAAGAGGGGAAAAAGAGATGCCAGATCCAGCCAGTGAGAAAGCTGGTCTGCAGGTCCCAGGCCTGCTGTACTTGGTGGGAGCTGAAATGCTTTCGGCCTGCACACCGGCACCCCCTTCCCTCACCTGGAACCTCTCGGGCATGTCTGTCATGCGGATCTCGTTGTCCTGGTCCGTTAGGTGACTGCTCTCCAGTTCACTGGGCTCGTACATCTCAAAGATGCTACGCCGACTAACACGCTTCTTGGCAGTCTTTTTGGGTCGTACACGGGTCTCCCCTTCGGTTTCTTCATCCTCATACTCATATTCCTCCTCCATCTCCTCATCGTACTCATTGTACTTCTCAAACTCATCATAGTCAAAGTCCACACCAAAGATTTCCTGGGCTTCCTGCAAAGCACTGAAAGACGAAAACTATTGTTCAGCCCCACAATGCAGCTCACACAACGTCTTTCTAGCCACACAGAGGAGGCCAGAGCACCTAAATCTAAGCTTTAGTTTTACACCTAGGCTAAAAAATACAACTCTTTGTGCCGTACATGCAAATACTTCTCTTAAGGGATTGGGTTCGGTATCCCTGTAAAAAATCCAGGGGAGAAAGGAAGGAGTCAGACATTTAAGAAATCACAGACTAAAAGTTCCACATTTAAATTTACCAGGTTCCTTTGGGGAAAGAGACCAGTGGTATCCAAACCACAAGCTGAATCACTCTGCAGTTGCAAGAAACAAGCAAGCGGAGCACTGTTTTCGAGGCTCCAGGCCAATTTCCAATCAATACTTACGCATCTGTGTATCCAGGGAGCTTCTTTCGCCATTTTGGCTTCTTCAGAGGTTGTCCATCGTCATCCACAATGAAGTCATCAATGTCTGGACATCAACAAGCAATTTACTGGTCAGTACACTTGCATATTCAACTGGTACCTCTGACAAAGCTCAGCTCAACCAGTGCAACTATGAGCTTCTACCACAGACTTAGGCTGCTGCTAGCTGTCAGTCTGCCCAGCTACCCACAGCATCTCCTATACCAACCTCAGACATTCCAGGAGTCTGAACCACAATAACAAGCTACAACAAACTGCCAAACACAGGCAAAGCCACCTGGCAACTATCTGCAGCTGAAAATGCAGTCAGAAAAGTCTTGCTCCTTTGGGTACTAGACAGAAAGAATTCTTGAAACTCTTCCAGTATGATCCTAGCAGCGGTGCCGGGCTGATGCTGAAGAGGAGAAGCAGGGCAGGCATGCACTCTGCTACTAGGTACTAAACGGTGCCCTGACTTTGAAGCATTTCCATTTCGGAGGCAGCTTAGAGGAGACATTCCACACCTCAGCACATGTAGTGTGCTTCTGGACAAAGCGGTTTAGACAGACAAACTAAACCTGCCACCCAGAAATGTTCAATTCTAAAGATTGTACTAATCAGACTAACAAGAGCTTTACCGTGACAGCTCCAGCCTTTAGTTACTTCTAGCTCACAGAAAGTCTTAACTTCATTCCTGTGCTTTAATCCTAGGACAAACTTTGGATGTAAATGACCATCCATACTCACCAGATTCATCTTCCTCCTCCTCCTCCTCTTCTTCTGGTGGAGCAACAGGAGCTTCAACAGCTTCCCCTCCTTCCTCGCCTTCACCATCCTGAAAGATTTCTTCAGCAATGGCTTCCTTCTCATGTTCTTCCTTTCCATAGTCTTCCTCCTCGTCATCCTCATCATCGGACATTTTTCGCACACGCCTGAATTTTTGCTGCAAGCAAAACAGCTTGTCAGTGCACATAATTCCGGCTGCAGACACTCAAGCTCAGCGTGGTCTCTGCCAGGCCAGGACTGCAGTTCGTCTGCAGGCACCTGGGAGGGAGCAGGATGGAGCCCAGCATGGCACAGGCACACAGGGGAGAAGAGCCACTCGCTCAGGAGCTGCACTGCAGGTGCTCGCAGGGCACAGCATGTACATAACATAACTGCCTGCCAAGGACTGCGCTGCTTCCAGGGCCCTGTGTCGCTTGCACGCTGTCACCACCAGCGTTAGCCTGGCTCGATGTGCCTCCAGCGAGTGTTAGGGAAGGAGTTTTAGAGCCCATAATAGCCTGTGCTGACTTTAAGGTTAGCACCATGCAGGAGAAAGTTATTGGAAGATGGGCTCCTCTGAGACTGTCTTGCAGAGGTGGGAAGGGAGGAGTACAGCAGACTTTAGAAACCTGAAGAAAGTGTTTTGCAAACTCTAGGAGGCCAGTTCCCAGTTGCCTGGGCAGGGAGAGATCCTGCTTCCTTCAAGCACTCAGTTTTCCCTTTCGAAGAGGGCAGGAGCAGATGGGAGGTGCCACTGGCTCACTCCAGCCAGGAGCCCACCCTCCTCCATGCTAAGACACACCACACCATTAACAGTAGCATGGGAACACAACTCACTCTTTTGACTTTAACGCCCAAGTTCTCTTCAATGAGGTCAAAATCATCATCTTCCAGACGGTCGTCAAAAGCTACGAGAAGAAAGCAGAAATGAGTTACACTCTCTCTTACTAATCTGGGAACGGACCAACCAGTGAGAAGGGTATAGCTTACCCAGCCCATGCAGACACCCAGGGCAGAAGGGGAGCTCTGCTCTCTGGCAGGGCAGTGCGAGAGCTTTATGCTGTGGCCTGCTATGAACAATCATCATAAAACTTACTGCGCTTTCTCTTTTTGTGGCCAACATCGTCCTCAGAGTCTCCAGAGTCACTGGCTTCTTCCTCCTCTTCCTCTTCCTCATCGTCATCATCATTAATGAATCCTTTCAGGTTCCCCTGCTCATCTTGATCATCGAGATTCTCCTCCTCTTCTTCCTCATCTGGGACGGAAAGCAGCAAGTGTTAGACATTTGCCTGTTGGTTATCTGCTGAGACCCCTTCTCGGCTCTGTGCAAGCAGCATCTTCCATCACACCATCCATAGAGAGAATTTTAACTGAACACTTTTACTGCCACAGAACCCAGCCAGCTGCTTGTGCCAGAACCCCACTTCTTGTCTTGTGGTCTCACGCTCTCTCTGCAGATGGAACAGGTGGATTGGTCACACTGGGAGAATTCCTCTGCTTTTACTGTTTACTATCAACTTGTGTGACTGCAAGTCCCATGGGGGTGAAGCAGTATATTTTCTATTGCCAAATATAAAAGCCACCTAGGCATTTTGAGGAAGGGAAGCACTTAAACAGCTGAGATTACGGACTACAGATGGCCATGCTATTATAGCACAGTTATTGCTCCATCTGCAGAGTCACGGCATGTAAAACAGAGCAGCGAGACACACAGACAATTCGGCAAACTCAGAACAGATAGGCAGACTCACCATCCTCATCTTCCTCTACAAACTTCTTGGTTACTCTGGGCATAACCTCCCCATCCTGGTTGTACTCCTCCTCAGACTCCTCTGCTTCACTTTCTACAAAGTCAGACATGGCTGCAGCGTCTCACACACAGCTCCACAGGAACTGGAGAAAGAGGAAACATCCATTGAATCAGCTGAGCGAGCAAAACACAAGCACTTCCCCCTACTGGGTTTTGGAGAGAAGACAGCTAAGGCAAGAGGGTTTCAAATCATCTACCAAGGCCCTGAATTACCCAGTGTCCATCTTGCCTGGACATCCCTGTCACCAGAGATTAGGCAAGCGAAGCCAGCAGCCAAGTGCCGCTAGCTCCTGTCAACCTGTGTCTCAGCGAGCAGGACAGGACCTGTCACAGCAGCATTCATCACGCAGCCAAAGTCCTTCATCCCCTCCATACCCTCCCACGCGGCCAGGAAAGCAACCCCACGCTGCCACCGACACCGCACGGCGTTAGGCACACAGTCCAACCAATTAGGATCTTAATAGGATTAATCCTCACTCAGTTAATGAAGCCAGAGCGACCCTGGAAAGGGCCTTGACTGAATCGCAATTGCAGGTTGTTAGCAAGGCTCCGCGGAGCCCCACGGAGCAAACAGGAGGGGGGCCTGGGGGGGCTGCAGGGTCAGGGCTGGGGGCTGCCAGCTGCCCAACTCCACCGCCCCACACAGACGGAGCCGTGGCTGGGATGTTCCAGGCCAGGGGCCTCTCTCCAGAGATTAGCAAGTAACAAGAGACTACAGAAACAGGGTGTTTTCTATATCCAGAACCGTCTGTTTGATGTTTTTCCCCAACTGGCGTTTCTGGAAGTGGTGTAAATCAAGCTTTGGCACAAAGGAAAGTCTGTGTCCATAAAGACAGGGCTCAAGTTCTGTCTCTCTGAGCCTTCCACTTCTTGTGGTTACAGAACTTGCTGTCAATTTTTAAGTTTTCAGAGGACTTTTTTTCAGTTCCTTTTTACATACACCAAAACAAGAGAAGCATACAAAAGTCAGCTATAAGAAAAAATAAATCAATTCCTCAAATGGCTGTGAAGATGAAAACACCAGCCCAGGAAGAAGTACCAGCCTTTGGGAAGGTAAGAAAACAAGCTCACAGGAGGTGTCAGATCTAAAGCCAAAACCTCCAAATTACATCTGATGTAATTTAACACACACTCAAAAAAAAAAAAGAGAAAGAGAAAAAGACGAGGAAAGAATTCCATACACCAGGGAACGATACCTAGACAAACATGCTTCCAAATATTCCCATAATCATTTCCCCACTACAAACAAACAGCTGAAGGAATTTGGTCCCATATGGGACAACCTGATCGAGGCTTTGCCATGACACTTCTTGTATGTGGGACTTCTTATTCTGCCCCGAGATCCACACATCTGGTGCACAAACACAACTTAGAGAAAACCACGGACTTCTTTCCCAGTTAAAGAAAAAAAAAAAGTGCATGGCCAATCTTGGATAATCTTTTAAGTCTTAAAATAATAATAGCTCCAAAGGAATGTGTCGGCCGTATCTCATTAAAGAAAAACCCACAAAAAAGACAAGGGAAAGACCTCTGCCAGGTTTCAGACACAACCAGATAGCGGCTCATACTCCTTGGCTGCGGATTACACGGCTGTGGCCAACATCTATCCAGGGTGCTCCCGACCGGCAGGAATTGCAGCGGGCCAAGGCTACTGCTCTGCACCCAGACAGGACACGGCTGCTCTGGCGTGGTGTGTAGGTACAGGGTCATCCCCGTCCTCGAGAGGACACTGTAGATGTCACACACACGTATTTAAGCATCTGTCTCAGAAATAATGCTTCAGAGGGTGGGCCAGATGCTAGTTAAATACGTGTTCCTGAAGCAAAGGCCACTGATGAATTGTGTAACTACATACAGTAGAGGAACTGGAATGGTTTTATTTACCAGCCTGTGCCTGAGTTTTATGTCAACTTCACACTTTCTCACCAATTCTTCTTCTACATGTATCCATCAGGGTATATTAACATACATTAAAAACATAGATAAAACTGCAGGCTAAGTGGCTTTTCCTAGACAATTCCTGAGTCTAACCACCTCATTTCCCTCCTGTCCATGACCAACACACAAATCCAGCACAAAAGAAAACCCCTCATAGCACCATACATAATTTTACTATTCTCTGCCAGTGAAGCGTTTCACTCGCAATTCCAACTTTCTTCCTCATCACTTGTTCTACCATTTCCTGGCAATTTCAATTCATCTCAAATCAAATTTGTCTGGACACAGGGAACAGCTAGGACTTAGGAAACCCATCTCATTTAACGATCCAGGCGAGCAGGTTCCACACAAACCAACCACCCACAAAACCGGGTGCTTTCAGCTCCACCTCAGGACAGCAGGGATGCCACTTAGCACGGCAAACAGAAAGAAGGATAGCTATTACCAAAGAAATGTTGAATCAGATATGGACCAAAGGTGCCTCTCCCACCCTCCGCACCAGAGAGGCCTTCATTTGAAATAAAACAGGACAGGGAGGCAGGCAGAGATGGCAGTCAGTGCGGGCAGGGGTGCAGAGGCAGAGCTCCGACCAGCACCGCTGCCCGGTGGGAGCCCCCCGTGCGGTGGGTGACACCGGGAGAGCCCCGCTCTAGCAGCACCACTTGCCTGGCCCTGCGACGGGTTTAAAGACTCCAGACTGAGAAGCATTGGGCCAGCGCAGCTGTATCACGCTATGGGCCCTCCCTTGGAGCAGCACAACAGCATCCCTGCTCCTGTGACACTCCCAGGAGAGGGTCAGAGATTGCTGCAGCATGGGACCAAGTACTAAATTGCACTACAGCACCAAAAAGGCAGGGAGACCGTGCCTAATCCTGCACGCTTACCTGTACACGAGCAGACAGGCTCCTATAGGTGACAGATAAAGAGAGATATATATATATCTCTTTACCCCAAAGATATCCTACAGCCACTAGACACTGACCAAGATGGACCAAAGACAACAGCAATGCAGCCAGCAGCGCTGCGACAGCACCACAGCGGAGGCGAGGGAAGCGCGGGTGCCTCCAGGTCGAGCATGGCCTCTCCTGCTCGGCAGTGATGCCAGAGCAGCTCAGGGCCGAGCAACTACATGACCTCTGCTTTCAACCGGGGCCGTCTGCACTTTGCTCAGCTCAAGGGCACAATGGCAATTGTCCAGAGTCCACAAGCTCCTTCTAACTGGGATGACCCTGAGCAGACAGCTCTCTTTGCTGTCAATACTGGACCAGGCTGGACATCGGCTGCAGGCACTGTGGCCTGCCTCCCTGGTTAGGCGAGGCAGCGCCTTTAGTGATGGACCTGAGAATTTTGGAAACCAGACATTCAAATACCTGTAAAGCCTTGGCCAAGCATCCAGATACCTGCTGGCTGCTTAGGACTACAAAACATCGCAGGGCTGGAGGCAGATGCAGCTTTGTACATCATACACTAGCAAAATTTAATTCGTTAGATTTAGAAATGGAGATACACTGTGAATACCTGCAAAATATCAGAATATATTATGGGAAAAACTCCTGCACCTTGCCAGGCACAGCGGTACCCTGGCCAGGCAGGGACACAACCGCGTGCAGGATGGCAGTGCCCCACAGGAGCTTCACAGCCTGAGCAGCTGTGGGGTGAGAGAAACCAGAAGCATCTCCAGCTTTCTGGGCAGAGGGATGCCAACTAAGGTTTGAGACCTCAGCGGTGCTCACAGAATAACCAACGAGTGTCCTCACAGTGAGATACATTTATTAGGAAACCAGAAGCATCTCCAGCTCTCTGGGCAGAGGGATGCCAACTAAGGCTTGAGACCTCAGCGGTGCTCACAGAATAATCAACGAGCGTCCTCACAGTGAGATACATTTATTATTCAAGAAACCAGAAGCATCTCCAGCTTTCTGGGCAGAGGGATGCCAACTAAGGTTTGAGACCTCAGCGGTGCTCACAGAATAACCAACGAGTGTCCTCACAGTGAGATACATTTATTATTCAGCAATCAACCTCAGGATATCAGTGTCAACACACAAAACAGCAAAAAAAAGTGTCAATCTAGGCTTTACTACAGCATGGGTGCCGAAGAGAAGCAAGTCCTTGACTTCTCCCCATCCTTCATTGGAGAAACTACATCAACGCTAATACTGGTTTTGTATGGGAGAGGGTTTGCATAGGGATTGTTTTAACGTCTGCTATTTCATAGTTCAACTCACAATCTGCTTAAGATCACGCAGGTCCATGGAACCACATTGCCAAAGCCACCACTGAACAGTTTTGCTCAGTTCTCATGTCTACATTTCAAAGAGAAAAGTTAAATTGGAGAGGATTCAGAAAGCTCTGTGAGAATAAGAAGGCTGGGAAACTTGACTCAATTAAAACGCAGAGCCTAAGGAAGCCAAATCTATTCATTTTGTCAATTAAATGCTCATGAAACTAATTTTAGCATGGCCCAAGTATGTCCACAGGAGTAAAAGACTGTGACAACAAATGGCTCATTAGGAAAAACCCAAACGCACTGCAAAGGTAACACCATTGTTCCATCCCCTGAAGCTCTCATAATGAAATCAATTTTGGTTTTCTTAAAACAAAAAAAAAAGCCACAGTTGAGCCAGAACGTGTGGATTTAACACTAATCAATAAGCAATGATCTTCAGGTTGCATCCCACCACAGACTTCAGACAAGCTCATACTGGCATCTTTTAATTTGAAGCTTATGAGCCTAAAACATCCCCATGAAGCACTGTAAGGCACCCACACCACAACAAACTACCCTCACGGGCACGTCCTCGGTGCCGAGCTCTCCCTCAGAGCCACTCCTTGGTACGGCCAGGGACTTCTGTAGTGCCAATCTCCACCGGGGCCTGCCCGCCCTGAAAGGACATCAGCAACATACAGTTTTGTATTTAGCTTTTAGAGCTGTTTCATGAATTTCTGAAGTTGGGACCTAAACCAGACATTCCCACCCTCCTCAGTGGTGGATGTGCAAAGCAGCACAAGGGTGAAACAACAACCGGAGACCAATGATGCTGCCACATGGAAAGTCCAGCCAGCCCAGCCACTGCAGCTCAGGAACTTCCCATACCTGCATCGTTAGTTT